GACTTCCTGTCCTTCCTTCTGTGATGAGCTACAATGCAGCAGTGTAAGCCAGGTAACCCTGTCCCCCGCCCCCCCAGCTAGACTTTAGGTATTTCACTGTAGCAGTAGAAACTGAGACAATCCTCATCGCAGGACATGCCAATGTGCAGGCAGACATGGTGCTAGAGAAGGATCTGAAAGTTCTGCATCCTGATCCACAGGCTGCAGAGAGAGAGCGAGCCACTGGGTCTGACTTGAGCTTCTGAAACCTTAAAACCCACCCTCTGTGACACACTTCTTCCAATAAGGCTGCACCTACTCCAACAAGGCTACAAGTCCTAATTCAAATGATGCCACTCCCTATGAGTCTGTGGAGCCCATTTCCGTTCAATCACCACACTGAGATGGAAGTTATTATCTTTCAGACCTTGAAATACTTCATTCCTCACTCTCCTCTTTTAAAATGTTGTTAAGAAATGTTTTTTTTTGATGAGTCAGCCTTTATAATGTGACTTTTTTCTTTTGCAGCTTTAGATTGATTTCCCTTGTGTATATTTAGTGTTTTGACCATAAGATAACAAGGAACTATATGAGCATCTCAGATGAGGTGCAGTTTCTTGCTGTCTGTCATTTTATGAAAAATGTTTTCCTGTTCCTTTGACATGAAACTTACCTGTCTACAATTCATAGATTTGGTCCTTTCATAGTTCCCCGTGAATCCTGCATGTTTCAGGCATGCACATACACAAAGAAACACATGCACACATATATGTTTGGTTTTTCAAGAAAGGGTTTCTTTATATAGCATTGGGTGTCCTGAGCTAGCCCTGTAGACCAGACTGGCCTCAAACTCATAGAGATTTGCCTGCATCTGCTCTAAGTGCTGGAATTAAAGGTGTGCACCACCACAGCTCAGCCCAGGCATATTTTTTAAATTAATGTATCTTTGTTAATGAACATCTGTGAGGAGCCATTTCCCCCCTAAAAATCATTACAGGAACCATCACCCTGGGGAGTCTGCAGGGAACCCCACACCCATAATTATGTTAAAAATTGTTCTATTGACAGAACCTGCCCCACACCCAATTAACTGTTATCTGTTAGCGGAACCGCCTCACATTCCAGCTATCCAGGGAACCAGGTGTGGCAACTCGTGACTTCTTGGCCTACCTGTCCGAAGGTAACCTCCTGGCCTACGTGACGAACCTGAACCACATTACCTGGAACATGTGGCAAGAATCCGTTTCCCTACCCCCCAAGCCCTCATTGAGGGGCTATCTAAACAGCAACTATCATCCTAATAAAGGGGGCTTTGACAAATCTGCTTGGCCTTATTCTTCTGTCCTAGCTCATTCCCTTCCAGGTAGCGCCTCTTCGAGACCCTGGAATAACTGGCTGCAGGGTGGGTTACAACCCCTAGACTAGTGACCCACCCAGGGCGGCAACAAACATCCACTTTCTTATTCTTAAAACGATCCCCGTGTGGGCTGGCGGAGCCCGCCATGAGAAAAGTGGCTACAGCTTCCCACCAGCGGGAGGCTCCGGCAGGTTACCAGCTGTGCTGCGTGCCCAGGCGGTGGCAAAGTTCCCAATGCGTGGTGGCTGTGAGCAGACCCATGGACACAGAAAAGTAGCCATAAAAGCAACTGCTAGCCCCAAAGAGACGGTTGTTGGTCCCCGGGGCGGGCTGGCGGAGTCGCCATGCAATAAGCAGCTACAGTTTCCCACTAGTGGGAGGGCATGCGCCACGCGGGCGGTGGCGGCGGGTAACAGACACATAGACACAAAAGATAGGCATAGGTATTTATTAAGAAAGAGAGGGAGAGAGAAAGAAGGGGAGAGAGAGAGAGAGAGAGAGAGAGAGAGAGAGAGAGAGAGAGAGAGAGAGA